AGAGGTTACTATTTTATTTTATAATAATTACCTATCTTAACAATTTAATAAATATTAACATTTTTTCAGTCAATTTTAAACAAATTAAATTTGAAAAACTAAATTCTCAGTAAATGCATATGTCAATACAACTATTTATGTACAAAAACAACTAATGATCAAAACCCTACAACGCCTGTGAGCTTGGGAAAAATGAATTGAAAATGGCATCTTAGATAACAAATTCCGCCAACGCCAAACCAATGAAGCTTTCGGGCTGAAATTTTTATCACTTATTAAGGGTGTAAAAAGCCTAAAAAATCCTGAATTACAAGTGTCTGTGATGAAAATTGCATTAATTATTAGCAATTGAAAACAACGGCAATTTTCGACCATTTTTGAGCTCTTGTGCATAAACAAATTATCGGAATTTAATGGGACTTTTTTCATTTTGTAGGCTTATTTAATACCTACCTTTTTTGTATAAACTTTTTTTCGCTATGAATAGTTTTTTTACATGAATCAAAAAAAACACTTTTCCATAACTTTGACCACTGTTAAAACAAAGTTTCCCAACTAGCCTCGTGTTGATTTTTTGATATTTTATTTATAACAGGTTTCCGAACAATATTCCGCAGAGAAACTTCTAATAGTATTTTTTCCCGAAACAGGCTCTTTCATGTCTATAATGACTGGGCTATATTTGTAAAATCCGAAAAAGAAAATTGTCGAGGTGCTTTCAACCATTACATAGCTGGACAACTGTAGTCTCTAGCATCACTCGTAATACGCGTGGAGAGCCACGTGGCCTCAGCGACTCCGAATACTGAAATCCGATTTTACAGTCGTCGTTACCCTAGTGTTTACAATAGTTTTTTAGTAGTTAGTGTTAAAAATGGCTTGCGTGTATAGCAACTTCGGAGTTGATGGATATCATTTTAATTTCAATAATGTTTGTGTTAGTTCGTAGAAACTGAGTACCCAAATGTTACACGTCGGTGGACAAAATTTTGAACAGTTGTAATATCAGGTATGCTAAATTATTTTATTATTTAAAACCACAAATTAATTTTATTAATTAATAATAACAATAGCGGCAAAATAAGCTGAATTTGCTGATATAAAATAGGTACTATAAAATTCTTTTTGTTCCTTTTCTTGAAAAATTCTTACAAGTTTTTGTCCGTTTTTATCACTGTCGCCGTGACAGTCGCATTGTACCAGGTCAGATTTTACAGTGGGCCAGTTTCCAGTGCCGTGCGGAAGTGTATTTTTAAATCATTATCGAACTCCTCTGTACATCCAGAATAATTTTTTTGGATAATTTCTGAATCACCCTGTATATTTTCAACTTGAAAATAAATTGTCTTTCCAAAAATGCAATAATGTACAGGGGGTTCCATTTAAAACAAGGATGTTGGTATCGACTTCCGGTATAACCGGAAGTACGATGAAAATATTTTAACTTGGTAGGCTTCACGGTCCGTATCACACCACCACAATTTGAAAAAAAAATCCGTGGTGGGACACCGTGTATATTTATTAGGGTGGTCCAAAACAAAAAGAATATTTTTTTTTCGTGTTATGAAAATATGTTATTTTATCATGTTTTAAGAGCCCCCTCAAAAAATCAGCTCAAACAAAATTTCTTTAGAGGTCACCCAAGATTTATAAAAATTTCTAAAATCGTCAAAAATTTAATTTTTTTTCTCGATATTTTATCATTTTCTAGGTTGAAAAAAATCTCAATTCTGAAAATTCCAAATCGACATTTTAATTTCTAAAGGTCACATAATTATTTTAACTTTCAAAGTACCTACTGTTGTTTTCGAGCGACCTAAAAATAAATATCAACGAACTAATAATTTTTTTATTGAATTTGATGAACAAAAGAATAGAAATAAATCACGACACTTAAATTTTAAAAAATTAAAAAATTATAAATATTTGATACAATGCGGTAGTAAATTTTGCCTAGAGAAATTTTTTAAGTGTCTCGTGATTTATTTCTATTATTTTGTTTATCAAATTCAATAAAAAAAAATTATTAGTTCGTTGATAATTATTTTTAGAGGTCGTTCGAAAACATTTTAGGTACACTACTTTTCAAGTTAAAATAATTATGAATGACCTTTAAAAATTTTAATATCGATTTGAAATTTTCAGAATCGAGATTTTTTTTCAACTCACAAAATGATAAAATAACGAGAAATTTTTTTTTTTTAATTAATGTGATGATTTTGGAATTTTTTTAATATCTTCAGAGACCTCTACAAAAAATTTTTAGAGCTGATTTTTTGAGGGAGCTTTTAGAACATGATAAACTAACATATGTATTTTCACAAGAGACACGAATAGAGATTTTTTTCAAATTATAAAATGATAAAATAACGAGATTTTTATTTTTTTTAATTAAATTTTTGACGATTTTGGAAATTTTTTAATATCTTGAGGGACCTCTACAAAAAATTGTTTGAGCTGATTTTTTGAGGGAGCTCTTAAAACATGATAAACTAACATGTTTATCACGATTATTATCTATTTTAATACGCTCGCCTGTACAAGTAAAAAAGTTAGTCTACTTTGCGACAATTTATGGCGTTTCGTTAATATACAGGGTGTTAACTAAAATATTTTTTTTATTTACAAAAAAGCAATTAGTTCATTTAAACGTCAATTCAACATTTTATGGCTTTTGGCATTTTACGGCTTTTTCGTTATATGTATATTATTCCATTTTT